GAGGTCAAGAAAAATATTTTCTTTTAGCAGTGTCAAACAATTAAAATCATGGCGTTTAAATTCAAGGTATATCAAACTGAGTTGGAGAAAGTGCAAGAGTTTAATGGCTTTGAGGACTTAATAAGTACGTTTCCTATTTACCGCGGAAGAGCGAAATCGCGAGAAGAAGAGGCAGATACGATCGTTGGGGAATTTAAGGTAAAGGAAGTTTTTGCTGTTTAAAAAAGCGAGCGCCCATTACATTTTGCCAATGGTCACGGTAGTATGACAATTTTTGAAATTCATCATTTTTTTTTTTATATCTAGGGAACATTCAGAGTGTACCCGATGCCAAAAGATGAAAGGAATAGTCCCTTACCAGATACTGTTTTTACTAATCTCCCACCAAGCAAACCGGTAGAGTGCATTGTCCGTCTGTATGTCATCAAGGTAATAAGAAACACCGTTTCAGTGGATTACCTGTTCCATTTGTTAACTTGAGTGAACATTTCTTTGTGCCATAATCTTTTAAGACAACAGGTAAGAGAGAGAAATTCAAGAAAGACGAGAGTTTGTTTTGAAGAGCACAAGAGCCAAAACGCAGGCATAACAAAGGGGGTCTCAATCGTTTTGACCCTTAGCTACTCTTTAGGCGTAGAAATTGAAAAATCTAAGCCGTTAGTTTTAGAATTAAAATATACCATAAACGGGTACCTAACTCATATGATTGCGCTGGAGAAAATGGCAGTTTATGCGAACAATTATCTGTTCATTTTAGATGTGCTGATTAGCTTGTACCATAGAATGCTTGTTTCATTTGATTTATTTTATAGGCTTTGGAACTTCAGCCGAGAGATGACTCCGGAACAGTAAGTTTTTTTCAGAGGATTCGGAACTTTAAAGAGATAATTTTCTTAAAAGAGATTAGCGATAAAATATTAATAGACAAAGGGAAAAAAAGTAACAAACCGAAGAGCAAGTTTAAGCGAAATTAGTAATGATCAGCCCTAGTGCTAAAGAGTTGAGCAGTGTGGCAATCAAAGATTGTGATCGTGTTGTCTGATCGTCCAAGTGCGTATAGTCCTGAGAAGGACTGTTGTTGGTAGTGGTGACATTAATTGTTGACATCACATCACCTTTCATCGACTCACGAACCACACTATTGACTGGGACTCTGCGCAATGCCTGATCTACAGCACTAATAATTTTCAATGACTGGCTCTTGAAAGCTGGTTTAATAACTTCGACCAGACTCCCCTCAAAAGGTGTCAATTACTACCAGCACCATACAAATTTCTAATCAAGACATTAACATCACACAAACGAATCGAACTGAGAATGACCTAACTTCACCGACGGATCGAACTGACCAATTACGCCCGACTTACGCCTCTTGAGTATTATAGCCAATAGCATCACGGCTACACTGACTAATTAGTTTACATGAACTGGACTGACAACATTCGACTGACAACAACTATTCCATTGAGTCCGATGATGACTTCCGCTCAAGTTGTCGAAACGTCAGTCACAACTACCTATAACAGTCCTTTTCAGGAATACACTCTCCTGAACGATCAGACTACACCATTATCTACTTTACACAGAACTTTCAGAAATGTAATTAGCCCAGATATTTGGCTCACTTCCAAACATATGGGAAGTGGACCATTTGTGCACACGCGTACTTTACAGTAAATGACCTCCACTTTATCCCTCTATTTTTCCAGTCCGACCCATATTTGGTAGTCACCCTAGGGGACCGAAAATTTGATGACAAAGATGTTTATAAACCTTACACAGTGAATCCTGTCTTTGGAAGGTAACCTTACATGATGTATTGCATCTAACGATCATTACCATACATGATCTGTACCGTGATGCGTTTTTTGTGAGATTAAGAGTGTGATTTGTAGATTCAATGTTGAAAAAGTTCAGATATTCGATATAACGAAGTTTCAAAATGTTTCAAATACGAGACGAATACGAACCTTTTTTGTGACTTACGAATCACCATACAAGTAAATCCCTATTCTCCTTTTAATTCTCATTACATGTTTCGATTCGGCACACACCTTCGTCAGTTATTGTTTCATTTTACCTCAAACTCTGCACCAAGAATCGGTTAAGAAGACTATCTAAGTTCTCTGCATATATTAATCCATTATTCCTATTTTTCGCGTTTGTTTTCAG